AATACAGTAATGCTTGTATTACTGTTGGAAATGCATCAATTTTTGTTTGATGCGTATATGTGTCCCCCACCATACAACTCGATACTCGATCATGTGCCCGATAAATAATGAAAAAGCGACATCTTTATCGAGATAAAAATATAACGAAGTCTAGTTATCATATCGTGGAGTGGAAACTGTGTGGTACTATCTTCTCTCTGTCTTTCTGATGTAATTACTGATGCGTGATATAACAAAGATAAGTTAGTAATTATTATATTTCGTAAAATCAACAAAGTTTCTATAAATTTAGATACGACTCTATCATTCGATAATTGTACAGGAATTTCAGCAGATTGAAGATGATAATATCTGGGTACATTGACTTTATCCCGAACAAGAGCGTTCAAGTGTAATATATTTCCCGCTACTTGTACCCCTACAATACCAAACTGTTCTTTAGCGGGGTTGAGACTCTGACGTACCCAACAAAGACCATCATTTGCCTCCCGCCACAATTTTATCTCATCATACGTCTTTTTTTGTGGGGTACAAAATAAGCGGGAACATTCGATATACATAAGTTCGAAGATCGTTTCGAGATAATTTCCCAGGAACATAATATCCGGGCGTCTTCCCTTATTTCCTCCTTTTCTATTCGCACTGGAAATGCTTTGCTTTTCTGATGTACTAACAAAAAATGGGTTTTCAGTAGGAAGATTTTTTAAAACAGCCTGAATTGTAGTTACAATGACGGTTGATTGGTATGTTTCTTCATTTACGGATCTTGCGAGATCAGAATTAAACGCCGGATTATTCCAAACATCTTTCAAAACGTTTAAAATTTCTTGAACGACACATGCGATGTCTTCATCGGATTCCTTCCAAGTTTTATCATGTGTCAATTTCGGCTTTGATCTTTCGTCACGTCTTTCAAAATCTTCTATAAATTTCGTACATATCTCTTGAACTATTTGGTACCATATTACGAGCAATTTTCTAATACAAAATATGCATGTAAATTATCTGCGGAGCAGTGCACTCCGTGCCTAGTAATAAAAATACGTATACTTATATTAAATTCTTTACCATAAATCCCTTTTTTAAGTTCCCAGGAAGATTCTTCACGAGATCTGAATTGTCACTGATAACCTGGCTTGCCATAGGGTCTTCCCAGGATAATTCTTCGACACGTATCTCACTCACGCCGGAGTATAAATGTTGATAGAGGGGGCTTGTATCTCTGTTAAATTTTCCTTTCAGCTTTTCTATATTATCCCTAATCTGGTCTCGGTTAAGGGGTTTCTCCTTATTTGTTTTAACAACTCCAAGATCCCGTAAACTACAGACCCCCTCAAAAGCAATCTCAAACTAAAATAAAAATATAATGTATTAGTTTCAGTTATATCAAAAAACATATTATTAAAAAATACATTATATATCAGTGCATATGCAAAGTTTCCATTTTCGTGTGGCCACCACGTTGAATAGAACTTTGTGCATCAAAGTACCCCCCTGATGAAGTACCCCGGGTACTATACAAAAACAGTAAAATACCCGGGGTACTTTAGTCAAAGAAATACGGTAAGTACCAGATAATCAAGAACACATACACAGAGTTGATACATACAAAAATTGTACATTTGTGTCGGAATATTTATTTTCATCACTATTGTCGAGTTTTTCACAATGACTGTCAAAGTAGTTCTGGATATTTATTGGGGCAGGTTCACATTCCCACTTAACATAATTAGCAAAATCTTGAGATAATTGTTGTAAGTCGTTTTCAGTAATTTCTTTACATTCGTATAGACTTTCTCTAGTTAGATCAAGCACTCCCCAATATGCAGGGATATGATAAACAAAATGGATTAATGATCAGACATTGATAGTAAAAAAAACCACAAAACTTACGTGAATACTTTGCGACTTTTAGGGATTTTATTTTGGTATTTTCGAAATGCATTCAACACGTCTTCACGTATAAATTTGGATGAATCTTGTTAAAATGGTAATATGCCTACTAAATATATTTATTGTATGCACACAAATGATAACATTAAAGTTTACCTTGTTGTCACTCGCTAGTGGCAATTTACTTTCTTCCTCGAGAGTATTTTCGTCGATTTTTTCCATAATTGCATCTTCATTTGAATCATTGAAAAGAAATGCTAATCCATCATAACCTAGTGTATTGGCTAACTCTTCACCATCACTATTGTTATCAGTAATTCTTTCAGCTTTTTTCCAGGCTTGCTTCTTTTTTGCTATTTCATTTCCATTACTTTCAGTTGAATAATCATAATCACTTGAACCAGAATTCTGCCTCTTCCCTAAGACACTTCCAGAATTCGGCTTGATACTCTCGATACCCTTAATCGCTCCATTGTATTTGAGCTGATAAATTACATCAATTATATAATATAAACACGTAAAACCGAAAAATAACAACTTTAGTTCCGTACCACTTTGTTATTCACGTTCGTGATGGTGGTATTGACACTTGAGATGGAATTTTTGAAGACTTCAGTGGTATCTTGTATAACTGAGTTCGAGGCCTCAAGCTATAGTTGAAAAAGTCATGAACAAGAGTTTGTTTATAACAGAAAATTTGTTAAATAAAAACTTAACTTGATTCCAGAACGTATCAACATCATTAAAGTATTTACGATGTCCCTATAACTCATAGAATTATTTATAAATGAAAGATAATGAAATATAAATTATTAATAAATGACACATTTTTAGCGCTTTAGATCATTTTAGAATAAGTGAGGAAAGCATTGCTAGAGACAACCACAACGGTCACGCAGGCCACCATAAAGAAAGCAATGGTGAAGAAAACCACAACGTCACGCAGATCACTGTAAGATTGACAACACGCAGAGCCTTCCGTTGTTGTGTGGGTTCCTTCCTGCAATAAAGATTATTATAACCCAACTTGCAGTACTATAGACAAGACAGTAGATGGCCATCGCGCAGTATAGCCATTAAAGTTTGTTCAGCCTCCCTATGTCGACCAGCAATGCAAAAACAACAATAAAATACTTTCCCTACGAATTTCTTCCAATCGACTGGCACCTTTTTTTTTTACATCCGAGCCATCCTTTATTAGATTCTCGAGATCTTTTTTTAGTTGTGCATCTCCTTCTTAAAAAAGGAAGTAAAATCTGTTTGTTTCGATCGGTATTTATAATACTCTAAGCCATACTCTTCTGGTAGCGTTATATTAAAGTAGGTACTCCATGACATTGATTTTTCTTCGGTAGTAGACATAGTTACGAAAATGCGTATGCCACGAGTTAAGTAGGTCACACGCTTACATCATGCATGAAAAGTTTCATAACATTTAGATATCACGTAATTAAGCCACAATCCAACCCCAAACCCACCAGAACCAAGCAACAATCCAATCCCAAAATTCAACGGTATCTCCCCTATATCCCCATTTATACTCGTCTGGTATCTTTTTTTCGCTTTCATCTCGATTAGTTTTTCCATCCGAGTGAATCTGTGATCGAAATAATCAACCAGTTTGTCGATATCATTTTTTAAGGGAGACGCAACTGCGGAAGGGAAGGCTCTCGTGTTGTCAATCTTACGATGATCTTTGCGTGACCATTGTGGTATTGCTTTCAGCAATCAATAAACTTTATGTTATGAATGCCAAAGAGTGAAAGTCAAGGCTTTGTAAGTGATTGTGGTTGTTTTGGTCTCTTTATCTAAAATGCAAAAAAGTAATATTGTGAATAAATCGATGTTTAGAGACTTTGCTATTAAAAATACGCTTCGTTGAGCTACTCCTTGTTTGATTACGCGTGCGAACCTATTGGAATTGGCAATATTTAATATTCTATTTATACCATATCAAATCCGCACCCGAGTTTGTGAATCAATTGTAACTTCGGCAATGCAGCTTCAGATAGTAACAACGGATTCTGCGTACAAGTCCAGAAAATAGTTTAGAATCTGAATAAATTAATTTAAACGTCGAGCTCGCTTATCTATACTAGAGCAAGCACCACGTCCATATCAAGTATTTCTTTCGTCGAGTTTGTATAAATTCATCTTGCCTATCACTTTTTTGCTCATTCTTCTTTTTCTACAGATTTAAAGCCCGAGCTTGCTTTATAAAGACAAAAACCCCATACTTATCTTGAAAGAGTACGCATTTGTCCTGGGATCAGGCATAATCGGAAAGAGAAAATTAGTCATGAAAGTTGAGTTAGTCCCGTGCATTAAATACAAAAAAATAGACACATTCGCACAGTCTTTCCATTCCGACTTTATCCAGGCGAAAAAAAAGATTGCAGACCGGATAATATATTGAAAAATGCTTCTTCGATCCGTGATATTGAACAAAAGACGAACGCATTATGAATGATATTTTGGTGTACAACCAGCTAGTATTTGCTTAAACTCTCGGTTAGAAACGACGCAGAATCGAACGTTCTTACGCATAGATGGCGTATACGGTTTATTACGTGTCAAGGCTATACAGCAAAAAGAGTGGTGATAAATTCTTGAAGATTATGAGTGTATTGACGGTTCGTCGCTCGCGCAATAAGCCAATGAAATAGACTATAGTTCTAATCCTTACGGGAGGATCAGGAATTTTTTTTTAATCGAAAGACTTCGAGCTACCGTTGTCCTTGTATAACCGACCGCTTCTACCATGCGAACTAAAGCCAAACACATCGAAACAAAAGACTACCTAATTACAACATTCCAACAAGTAAACACACGTCAACCCTGAAATTCCCTAGACAACAGATGCCACCTCTCCGAAGCGTATCTCAAGCATCGCTATCTCAAATTTCTATACTCCTAAAATTAAGTCGA